TTTGCTATCCAAACACCTCCTCTACTACATCTAACAAACTCTCTCCTCGATCTGTAAAATGTGTCTTTCTTGGATACCCTCCTCGGCACAGAGGCTATCGTTGTCTTGACTTAGGCACACGACGCATTATCATCTCTCGCCACGTTGTTTTCGATGAAACAACATTTCCCTACGCCCCACCAGCCCAACCTCCAGTTTCCACATCATCAATAGAAACCACCACTTTCCTTGACCCTCCTCTCCTAGTTTCACATCCATCACCCGCTATGCATGCACCCGCCACCCCTTCATCTGTTCCATCTACGCATGATAGTCCGCCTAGTCCCGCCACCCCTTCGTCGGTTCCACCGACGCCTGATAGGCCGCCTAGTCCCCTGGGCTCGCTCACTCCCACCAGCCAGCCTAACTACACTGTCGCGTCTCCCTCCCCGGGTCCCGCCAGCCCACCACCTATGTTCCCGGCACCTGAGCCGGCACATATTCATCGGTCTCGCTCAATGACCGGTCGTTTACTGCCACCGATTGATCGCCTCAATCTTTCTGCTGTCGTCTCCTCGCCTATACCTCATAATTATCTCATATCTATTCATGACCCATCATGGCGCCACGCGATGCAAGAAGAATTTGATGCTCTCACTCTGAACAACACATGGTCCCTTGTTCCTTCTCCTTCCGGTGCAAATATCGTCAGTGGTAAATGGATTATTCGACCTAAATATCATTCTGATGGCTCACTTGCTCGTCACAAAGCCCGTTGGGTAGTCCATGGTTTTTCTCAACAACCCAGGGTTGACTATGATGAGACCTTTAGCCCTGTTGTCAAGCCAGCCACTATACGATTAGTTCTCTCTATCGCTCTCTCTTCTTATTGGCCTATTCATCAACTAGACGTTCATGGTCATCTCGATGAGGTCGTCTATAGTCAACAACCCTCTGGTTTCATTGATCCTCGTTATCCTGACTATATATGTCGCTTGCATAAATCCTTGTACGGTCTTAAACAGGCTCCTCGAGCGTGGTTTCAGCGGTTTGCAACCTATGCTTGTTCTATTGGTTTCGTTGAGTCCAAGTCTGACGCTTCCTTGTTTATTCTTCACAAGGGAACATCACTGCATATTTACTTCTCTATGTCGATGACATCATCCTTACAGCCTCTTACTTCTCTCTCATCGATTATCACTTTGTTTGCTAAAGAATTTGCTATGAAAGATCTTGGACCTCTTCATCACTTTCTCGACATTTCTGTCTCTCGCACATCTAGTGGCTTACATATCTGCCAACGGCAGTACTTTCTCGACATTCTCTCCCGGGCCAGCATGCGTGGCTGTAATCATATTTCTACTCCAGTTGACACCAATGCCAAACTCTCATCCACCAATGGTTCCCCTATTTCTGATCCTTCACTCTATCGTAGTCTTGCTGGTGCTCTTCAGTATGCCACCCTCACTCGACAAGACATTGCCTATGTTGTTCAACAAGTGTGTCTTCATATGCATGATCCTCGCGAACCCCATCTTCTTTTTCTTAAACGTATTCTCCGATATCTAAAAGGCACACTTGACCTTGGTTTGACACTTCATATCTCCTACACCTTTTCCACATATTTCTTACATTTCCGGATGCACCTCCCTCTGTGCCTAGTATTCCTACTCCTCGTCCCGCTGTTAATGATCCGATGCCGTCCTCTCCAATGGTTTCGTCTCCTTCCTCATCGCATGACTCTCCACCTTCATCATCGATACCTTCCTCTTCTCCACCTTCATCACCGACACATTCCCCATCTCCATCTCGAGTGATTTCACCTCTTCCCTCATTTCCTTTCCATACTCGTTGTCGACGTGTTGTGGATGAGTCTACTAATGTGCCCTCAACTTCTGATGTGTCGTCTTCCTCCTCTCAGCCGACTTATGGTCTTTGTTCTCGGCCTTATCCGCCCCGTGATCGACCATTGTTGAGCCGACTTCATATCGAGATGCAGTTATTGATCTTGAATGGCAGTTTGCCATGGGAGAGGAGATTGCTACCCTTGAGCACACAGGCATGTGGGATCTGGTTTCAATTCGTCCTCATGTTCATCCTATCACTTGTAAGTGGGTCTATAAGATTAAGACTCGCTCTGATGGTTCTCTTGAGCGTTATAAAGCTCGTCTTGTGGCTCGTGGCTTTCAGCAGGAGCATGGTCATGATTACGATGAGACCTTTGCTCCTGTGGCCCATATGACCGTTGTTCATGCACTTCTCGTCATGGCCTACGTTCGCCACTAGTCTATGTCTCAGCTTGATGTTAAGAATGACTTTCTGAATGGTGAGTTGCGTGAGGAAGTTTATATGCAGCCACCACCTGGGTATTCAGTTCCTGATGGCATGGTTTGCCGTCTTCGTCGCTCTCTCTATGTACTTAAGCAAGCCCTCTAGTCTTGGTTTCAGCGTTTTGCCTCGATGATCATTGCAACTGGTTTTTCACCCAGTGTTCATGATCCAGCGTTGTTTGTCCACCTTGCTACTCGTGGTCGCACTCTTCTTCTTCTATAGGTTGATGACATGATCATTACCGGCGATGATCTTGAGTACATAGCCTTTGTCAAGGCCCGTCTCAGTGATCAGTTTTCTATGTCTGTTTTTTGTTCCACTTCGTTACTTTCTTGGGGTTGAGATTTCTTCCACCACTGACGGCTTTTTTATTTCCCATGAAAAGTATATCTAGGATCTTCTTGCTCGTGCAACTCTGAGTGATGAGTGCACTATTGAGACCCCCTATGGAGCTTAATGTTCACCTTCGTGCTTTTGACAGTGAGCCCTTGTCTGATCCGACCCTTATCCTCATCTTGTTGGGAGTCTTGTCTATCTCGCCGTCACTCGTCCGGATATCTCCTCTCATGTCCATATCCTTAGTTAGTTTGTTTCTTCTCCCACTTCGGTTCACTATAGTCACCTTCTTCGTGTTCTACGATATCTTCATGGCACTATCTCTCACCGTCTCTTCTTTCCTCGTTCCAGCTCATTACAACTCCAAGCCTATTCGGATGCTACCTAGGCTATTCATCCTTTGGATCGTCGTTCACTTTCTGCTTACTGTGTCTTTCTTGGTGGTTCTCTCATTGCTTGGAAGACGAAGAAATAGACTGCAGTTTCCCATTCGAGTGCAGAGGCTGAGTTGCGAGTTATGGCTCTCCTCATGGCAGAGGTGACTTGGTTACGCTGGTTACTTGAGGATTTGGGTGTTACTTTTACTACACCTACTACACTCTTGTCAGACAGAATAAGTACTATCAGTATTGCGCGAGATCCAGTGAAGCATTAGCTTACCAAGCATATTGGTGTTATGCTTTATTTGTACGCACTGGTGTGCAGGAACATGTTATTGCTCTTCAGTATGTGCCTTTCGAGTTATCACTCCAAACTCAGTGTTGTGGATCCACCATCAGTTTGGGGGGGGGGGGGTGTTCCTTTGGCCTTTTGCATTCTGGCCTTTGGCCTCCCCTGTACATGTATATATGATGACTTTTGCCTCCGGATAATACTAAGTTGCAATCCTAACAGTCTTGCATTTGCCTGCGCTGACTCGGGTGGCATCCCGATTCGCTAATCCCGTCAGCCCGGATCCGGGCGCCCTTCCTCGCGGTGGCTGGGCTTGCGCGCATGGACAATGGTGGCAGCGGGGCTCCATCCCTGTTGCTAATCAGCTGGCGTGTGGCATTGTGATGGCAATGGCTGGCGGCAGTGGTAGCGGTTGAAGCACCAGCATGGCAGCCTCTGAGCACCGACAGCATGGCTCCCCCTCTTCTGATCACGTCGGCATCGCCATGCTGCAGCCGCCCCTAACGGAGGAGGAAAGGAGCAACAGCCGCCATGACCCCACGTGGTGAACCTGGCAGCCTGCTGAAGAACCAGGTGAAGACGAAGCCCATGCAGTGGTTGTCATCTGGTAGATGCAGCGGAAGTCAACCTTGTCACCGGTGGGAAGGCTCTGGGTGTGGGAAGGCAACACGCAGACCTAGCTATATACTCATGTGTTCTGCTAGGTCGCTGGAGCCTTCGGTAGCCATCTTCTTCGCCAAGTGATGGCCTCCTTTACGTGCACAAAAAGTTTCAAGGCCAGTGGAGTAACGGGCTCCTCAATTCCTTGAAAAAAACTGTACATGTTCTCTATTGGACTCTAGATCCTACCTCACAGACGGTGTAGTTTCTATGAGGCCTCCAATCTGTCTTTTGTGGAACACCCTCAAATTTTTACCAAAACCCAGGAAATGATATATTTCCAAATATTGCAGGCGGACAGAAAAAAGCCAGGGGCTGGCATGTCTCATATGATGGACTCCTTTGTGTGCACAAAAAGTTTTGAGTCCAACGGAGTAACGGGCCACACAATTGCATCACAAGATGGCTGGTGTGGAGAAGCGGCAACAGATCGGTGTGGAGAAGCAGCGGTGGCGGTGGCAGTACAGCGTGACAAACTGCGTTGGCGGAAGGTGACAGGGAGGAAATAATTCGGGCGGAGGCGGCAGCTTAGGGTTGTATGAAGTGGCGTGATGTGGTTGAACCTATGCAATGGTGGTCATACTTATGTAATGATTGAATAACATATATTAGTGCCATTTTTATTATTGACAAAAAGGAAGGACTCTTTGCCGAGTCACAACAATGGGGTACTCGGCAAAGGGCGCCAACAGTCATGGAGCCGTCAACGCCAACGCACATGCCACGTGTCCCCTTGTTGCCGTGTCCTTAGGTCTCGGCATAGTAAGCGTAAGTCGAGTGTTTCATCTTTGCCGAGTTCACCTTTGTCAATCTCAGCAAAGGCCTATCTCCACCGTGTGCTTAATGTTGCCGAGACATGTACTTGCTTAAACAGTCTTTACCGAGCTTTCGTGATTTGGTTCTCGGCGTTGGTGAAAGTAGTCGTCTTAGACGATTTTTCCGGAAGTGATTTATGACCCGACACATAGCTCTTGAATATATGTATTTTATTTCTTTTGACTTCCCAACTATAAGCATATGAACTACAAAGATAATGGCAATGAGTGTGTAATCGTCTCTAGGGGAGTCATGTCCAGTGTCAGCTCCTCGGAATCCGATCCAAGGGCATTCATGGCGTGGGTGATGGACGGTCGGCTGCTCGGGTCCTGGTGTGCGCACAAGAGTCCGATGAGTAGCGCATGCTTCTTCTGCTGAAGCCCATTAGTGACCTCGCCGTTTATCAGCCTTTCGTCTACTACCTCCAGGATCGCATTCCCGTCATACTTACTTCTTACCCATGACGACAATGGAGGCATATTCTGATCTGTTGGGTTCCTTCCAGAGACCATCTCTAGTAGGACGATGCCAAAACTGTAGATGTCTGACTCCCTATTCCGTTTGCTCGTGTCAATGAACACAGGATCTATATATCCGAAAGTGCCCTGTACAACATTCGTGGTCTGTGACCCAGTTTCGTGGTGAACAAATCTTGCCAATCCAAAGTCACCTAACTTGGCACCAGACGAAGAGCCAAGTAATATGTTACTCGATTTGATATCACCATGTACAATACACTGTTGATCTTGCTCGCAATCTACATGGAGGTATTGTAGTGCAGAACCTAGGTTGAGGATAATCTCGTGCCTGCGTTTACCAAAGCATGTTTAGCATTACGTATGAACAAAAAGAAATTAAGTTGCAGCGACGTAAAAGCTGAGGCAAAACTAAAATACATACCTCTTGGACCACGGTAACAAACTGTTGCCCCCGTGTAGGTGTCGATCAAGGCTACCTTCTTGCAAAAGCTCATACACAAGGAACAGACGTGTGTACCTTTCGTCCCACCACCAACATATGAACTCAACCGGGTTCCTCTGGCCATCATAGCACCAGCCTATCAACTTGACAAGATTCTTATGTCGTAGGCGACTAGCGATCATGAGTTCATCCTCGAACGCCTTCCTCCCCTCGCCTGATGCAACCAGCTTGAATCTCTTTATCGCCACCTGGCTACTTTTCAAAAGGCCCCGATAAAAAAAGGCCGAACCTCCTTGACCAAGCTTGTTTTCCTCTGCGAATTTGTTGGTCGCACGTGCCAGCTTATGATAACCAATATGTTTACGGCCATCGGCGAGAGCTTTGTATGGCTTCTTTCTTGTGCACAGCTGCCATCGACGGACTCCAACAAAGAAGCACACGATTGCAATAACTCCAATAATTGGCCCAGTTACCTCTGCTATTTGTTTCCACAAAATCTTCCGTGCAGGCGATGGATCCAAGGTAGAGTTAAATGACCAGGATATTATTTGGTGTAGCTCGACCGCCACGCCAGTAGCACCCGAGAAGCCGATGGACACAACACTGGGCAGGAGCTGACGCAGGTCAACACTTGTGTTCACATGGTAGGTGACGTCGCCGATCTGGAGAATGGCGGCTAGTACTTTTGTGTCGTTTCCGTAGCTGATATGGCAAGTCATAGGCAGGCCGGCTGTTAAGTCTTGCCATGCACGGTCACGTTGGTGTAAGCCCGCGAGATGATGGAGTTAACATCGATGCCCATGTGGCTGCCGCTGGTGTCGATGCCGGGGTTCAAGAAAGTGTCAAACTCAACCGCCACCGCTCGTTCATCGCCAGTCGCGACCGTGCTGACGTTTCGGTTAAAGAGTCCAAGGTTCTTGCCGTTGTCGAGGGGATCAGGAATGCTTGTCGGAGGATAATGACCAAGGAAGAATGCCAAGCCATCGCCACTGACAGGACCACTTACATTGATTCGAAAAGTGAAGGAGGTGGTGAACCGGGTGAGCTCGCCTGTGTCGACATCCCACAGCGGCACCGGCTGCGAGTGCAATGCTCGGCCCACGCTGTTTTGGATGTTCGGACTCCCCCCGCCTTTTGTCAGCTCGATCCTCTGAGACTGGGAGTCGTAGTATGCATCGCCCTCAAAACTGAAATCTTGGGCATCATAGCCACCGGGCTGGGAGAAGTTGAAGCTGAAAGAATGCGGTGTAGCACGAGGCGGGTGCAGAGACCATATGGAATGGTAGAGAAGCATAAAGATCTGTATTCGGCGGGAAAAACTCACAGCAGCAGCCATTTGCTGCGGTGTGTTTGGAAGATCGTCAGCAAACACCTCGACACTATATAGTACTACAACTTGTGATCTCGAAATCTTCAATAAATATTAGGCAATGCAAACGAACAGCTAGCCAGAGCCAGCTGCCGGGGGATCCACGCACATCCAGTGTAGAGGCCGGAAGAACCTCTAGTAATGTCCGCTAAACAGGAAGGGTTAGAGGATAAACCAAATGACAATACCTCAACAACGCCTTTCAGCGGAATCTCCTAGGTGGGAAAACAAGGCAGTACTATACTATGTGCTATCTGACCAAGTCTTTCTGACTGCGAGAGTCTGAAGACAAGATTAGGTAACCTCTATGTTCATCTGACGTCAAGTGCACGCTAGCATGTTTGTGGTGTTTGATTCTTTATTTGAACTTTTGCTGCCTCTTTCTGCTATTCCGATGCAATCAGATCCACGTTCCAAGTATCCCTTTTGCGAACATATGTATATCCTCCTCAACATTTAATCTATATCTATATCTATACCTTACCTACTATATTTAAAGAGAATAGGTATTCTTGGTTTGGTTCCGCTTTGTTTCGTTCCGTTTTGATGATTTTTACCTACATTATTTTTTGGTTTGGTCTGTTTTGACCAACATATGAGGTACGTGCCAAGGAAACTAGAAACAAAGAGCAGAGCAGAGAACGTACGTACAAAGGATACCGGGACAGCCGGCCCACATGCACAGGAAACAAAAAACTAAGCAACGACGTACGTTAAGGGAAGGAAACCGTGCCGGCCGGCCCATATCTTTATTTTAGTTGCCAGCCCATATTGCGGTAGGACGCTTCATCGCTCGTCCGAGGAGAGAACGCATGGTGCACGGCGTGTGTACGGCACCACCGCCGCTGCCTTCCTCCAGCGCCGTGTCCGTTTTCGATCGGATCCGTGTAGGAGAATTACTCCAATACGGAGCCATCGATGCCCCGATACGGATTCCACAAAGAATTCCCGCAATAAAAAGAAAGTCTAGACTAGAAATCGAGCTAAATTGCATCGCAAATTCGCCGTCGACTTTGCCGGGTATTCGCCCAATGTTGCCTCCACCGAGTTTGCCAGAAAACAAGACGCCATCCGACAGAATCTATTCAATGTCACCTGCAAGTATCTCGCCTCCGTCGACTTCGCCATCCTCATCATTTTTTCCATTCATTATATCAGTATTATTTTCTGAATTTATTTCTTTGATGGTCAGTTATTGGATCCATGCTAATCAGGTCACCTGGAGCCGGGTTTTTTTTCTCATGCGTAGTTGATCCATTTTCCAACCAATCGATGGTCTATTGTTGATATCTTTTCTAAATTGATGATGTTGCCATTGCTCAAGCCAGTAGGTGAGAGAAGCATATTTCACTAATTTATTCCAGCAATTCAGTGTTTGGTTAAACCTGACATAACACTTCTATGCGTTAGAGCTAGCTGAGTCGAGCAAATTTCTGTTATATAGGCAGTGTTTGATATTATAAGTGAGGCCATTATGTAATTGTAGGTGATGCAATTCAGCTATCAATTTCTCCACCGGTTAAAACAATGCGAACGGCTTGGTCTGCCTACGAATTTTTCCTGAGTTGATGTTGCTCCATTGCCAACAGCTTATAGAAGGATACTGATTTAATCTTGGTGTGTAGTACTATTGGTTTCTTTATTCTTTAATAAATAGCATATACCATGGCTTTCGCCTTTCAGTACTATGCATCTTTCATGTTGGTTAACTTTTTTTTTTCTTGCATTCTATCTGGACTAATTCTTAGCATCACTCGCATTAACTGAAACATATACATTTTGGGTGTGTCTTAATTTAAATGAATACAGAGCAAATGTGGACGTCTGGCCGATTTATTTTCGGATCTAAGCACTTTAATTTTACTTCTATAGTGCAGATGTATTTGCTATAGTTTTAGTTAAGGTATCCCCATTTTAATGTAGACATCATCAATCTAACCTTTTTCATTTTCTAAACTTATCAATCTATTCTTTCTACTACCAAGATTCAAGCAACGTAAGGGAAGGAGCTTCCGTGCATGCTTTGATCCATTTATGTAAGTTGAAGTGCTATTTTATTCAAACTGATTCCTACTGCCGGGGGCTACGCATGAATGCATGCCAATATATATCGGCATTCCTGCAGTTGAGCATCTGCGCCCTACCATCCTCCGCAACTGTGGAGTTTATCACAAGGCAACAATATGTACACAGCGGGCGACCATTACATCTCTTGTTGGCGCCGCCTCCACTCGCAGCGCCGCTTCTTATTCCTCTTGCTGCCTCTCACAGCTCAGCGTTCTCTCTTTGTCTCACTCAAGAACACACTATGAAGGAAAACTCACATGGACACACACTTCACCAAGGAGAAACTAGCTTTGCCTTGTCTCCCGGTGAATATCACATAGGCTACATTTTGCCTCAGCCCTCTCGGCCTCGCATTCATTTGTCAACTTAAATAGGCAGTACACAAGACTCACGCACTGCCAGGGCAACAACCTGCCCGATTCCTATGCCACTCACGCATACTCCTCTAGCCCTATTCTCTTGCCCACTAACTCAACTAACCCACGTACATGCATGCGCACGTACAACAATGGCGCAATCTCTCCACAATGGCCACATGACTTGGCCGGCTAACAAACTCATGCATGCAACACTATCTAATCTCCTAATTTCACTACTGACTTGCGTGTACACACATTAACTCATCTCCATGTGAGTACACACCCGCAGTCTAGTAGCTGAACACGACTACATGCATGACTCAAAATCTAAATCTAGCACTAATAACAAGATTAGTTCTAACATTCACCTCCCTAATCTTGTTAACTTATTTCTCTCTTGAAGCCAATGGTTGTTGACGTCATCGACGCATCACACAAACGGCCGCCAATGCCATCTTGTCACGCCGATTGCCGTCGTCGTCGTTGGCCTCGATGAGAGCAACACCTCCCGTGCCTTCACCACGAGCGCACCGCCGTGGCACGCTCGCTGCCGCAAGTTTGTCACTGGTGCCGCAACTCGCCGGTGACTCGCCTCCATGCTCGCCGCCGGTGACACAACTCGCCGGTGACTCGCCACCGGTGACACAACTCGCCGGTGACTCGCCTCCATGTTGTCGACGATGACGCACCTTATCGAAGACTCGGACATGGAACTCCTTATGGCAATGTCCTCCACGCATGGCCATCACCACCTTGCCGCCGATGCCGCAACTTACCGGGCAGCACACCCCTCTCCATCGCTCGTGACGCAGATCGATGATGATGGAGACACGCACCGGGCGCTAGCAGCTTTGCGCCGCCAATGGCGTTCACCTTGCGCCGCCAACGTCCCCCTCACATGGAGTCCGTCGCGCCGCCACCGTCGCCTCGGATCGACAAGGCTCTGATGCCAATTGTTGGCGCCGCCTCCACTCGCAGCGCCGCTTCTTATTCCTCTGGCTGCCTCTCACAGCTCAACGTTCTCTCTTTGTCTCACTCAAGAACACATTATGGAGGAAACATCACACGGACACACACTTCACCAAGGAGAAACTAGCTTTGCCTTGTCTCCCGGTGAATATCACATAGGCTACATTTTGCCTCAGCCCTCTCGGCCTCGCATTCATTTGTCAACTTAAATAGGCAGTACACAAGACTCACGCACTGCCAGGGCAACAACCTTCCCGACTCCTATGCCACTCACGCATACTCCTCTAGCCCTATTCTCTTGCCCACTAACTCAACTAACCCACGTACATGCATGCGCACGTACAACAATGGCGCAATCTCTCCACAACGGCCACATGACTTGGCCGGCTAACAAACTCATGCATGCAACACTATCTAATCTCCTAATTTCACTACTGACTTGCGTGTACACACATTAACTCATCTCCATGTGAGTACACACCCGCAGACTAGTAGCTGAACACGACTACATGCATGACTCAAAATCTAAATCTAGCACTAATAACAAGATTAGTTCTAACATATCTTAGGAGATGCAAGTAAGGAAGCAGAAAAACCATAGATCAAATAGGAATAAATATGTCTTGCATTCTCTTGATACGCTTTGTAACCAGGTTAACGTCAGTTTGTCATACATTTACGTCTGACTTGCGTATTTAATTTCTGACTAATATGTCTACTTCTTTTCTCAAGATTTCTCCTAAGCGTTGTGGGTTGGAAATAAACTTTAGCTAAGATGTTGTTTTGATGATCTATTTAGTTAATTTGTTTGATGAAATTCTGGTATATATGGTGTTCTTCACCTTGCAATACTGTCTGCAAGATAATTCAACATTCGTCAAAGCTTCACTTCTAGCTGACCTAACAGCAAGACAAGTAGCATTGAGTTGCTAAAAGCATACAAAAGTAACACAAGTTTCGCAAGTTTGAGAAAGTTTTCCCTTCTTGAATTTAGTGAAACTCTGGTAGACATGGCGACAATAGCATTACTTAACAATGTTACTAGATACGAGGGTAACCATATATGTCAGTTTGTAGAGTTGCGATCTTCTTTGCCGCCGCAAAGCACGGGCATATGTACTAGTTCTACCCAATGGAAGAACAGAACTCCCAACCAAATTAACAAAGATCTTCAATAAGACAACACTGCATACCCGAGAGCGAATATGTCCATAGATGATTGCAGAGGTACATCTGCTGAAACTTGGGACTCACCACCATGTTCGTGGAATCTCTGGAGTAAAAATGGAGTTTAGTTTATATTTCACAGTACAAATAAAAATGTGCCATCAAAATGAAGTTACAATCTATCTAAGACATATAGCATAAAAGTACAGCCACTACTAGAAAAAACGCCTTTACCGAGTTCTTTTTTCTTTGCCGAGTACGAGAACACGGGATCATGACAAAAGACATCTAAGCCGTGTACGGGTGTGTACGGGTCTCGGCACACACTAGTACACGGCACATGGGTAGCTCTGCGAGCCCCGCCGGTAAGAAACTCCGCAAACATAAAGGCACTCGGCTTCTGCA